CCACATCGCCTTCTCTGCTGTCCACTGCGTGTGTGTGTGTGTGTGTGTGTGTGTGTGTGTGGGAGGACATCCAGTCTATCCTGGTCTGGCCTCCGTCTGGCTCTCTACAGAGTGTCTGTGTGTGTGGTCGTTTTTTGGGCTGCATTGGATTCGAGTGCGGCCTCGCTTTGGTTTTGGGCTTTTTGGTTTGGTTTTGGGCTTGGTTTGGTTTGGTTTGGTTTGAGCTCCGTTCGGTTCGGTTCAGTTCGGTTCGGTTCAGTTTGGTTGGGCATCTTGCTCCTTGCACCTTGCTCCTTGCTCTTATCTGTTTATTTTTATTATTATGTCTCGTTGTTTTGCTCTCAGGGACACAGCCCAGTGGCAACTTAGGTCTATATGTGCACAGATATATGCATAACGCACTGCCAACCCAACCCCGAATCCCCCCCCCCCTCCCAATACCACTCCCCCTCCCAAGGGTAAATGTATCAAATATATAACACAGCTCAAATTCCACTATTTATTACACAGAGTACAAAGTTTTAGGTCAGCTTTAACAATCAATCTGCTGCGGCAACATCTGTAAAGTATATATATATATATTGTATATATATATATTGTGTATATATATTGTATATATGTACATTATGCGTATTATTATGCTCCCCACAAATCATCGATAACAAAATACTATATCGTATAGCTCTGTTATTGGAACAATCGGTCGAAAGTTCAACAACTTTTTTGCGTGCCAAGTTATTCGAACAAAACTATCCACATCGGACTAAACATATCATATATATATATATATATATATATATATATATAGCTGACAATCGATGGGTTTTCCAAATTTATTAATTGTTAAAAATTGCATTTTTCATTAATATTTAAGCTTCACTGTACCTTTTCAAAATGCAGGAACAAAATTGCAGCTTTTAAATTTAATGGAATCGGCGATATTTTTGATTCATTATTAGAATAGCTGAGAATTGTTGCAACATGCCCCAAAATATGTTGAACAGCAATGATTAATTTGAAATTAGGAAAGAGTATCAAATATTCAACTATGATTATAATTGTTGTTGTTGTTGTTGTTGCTGCTAGTTGTGCGTTTATGTGGCAACCTGGCGACAAAAATAGAAGCATCGCCCACGGAACACGCCTATGTCAAATTGCGTGCTGCTGGCTACACTCAGAAAAAAAACGAGTGTACAATAAAAGGAGGAAAGAAGGGAAAATTACAAAATTGCTAGTCCCAAATGGATCGTATATCGGGATACACAAACACTTAGGAAAACTATAAAAAATAATATAATTGCTCTTAAAAAAAGACAAAACAATTTTCTAATTTATTTGAGATTACTTCTTGTTTTTTTTTTTTATGTGTAGAAGAGCACTGGCGCTATCTGTCCAAGCGTTGGCGATGTTAGTGTTAGCGTGGCAGGGGAGGCGTGTAGCGGTGAGGGGGGCGTGGGATCGGTCGTAGGTTGAGCTCCAGCGAGCGCCGAGCAACTCCGATGGCGCTTTGGGCGCAATTTTGCTATACGTTTTTCAAGCAGAAAATCGATAAGTGCGCACGTACAGGAATATATATATATATATATATATATATGCTTGCACACACGCCCAGAGAGAGGAGGGATGCGTGTGTGTGTGTGGGTGTGTGGGTGCTTACATGGCATGTACTTAACGTCGCAAGTGGGCAACGTCATGCGTCGCCAGGCGGCTACGACTACTACGCAGGAGGAGCAGCAGCAGGAGCAGGAGCAGGTCAGGGAGACCGTTGCACGGCCTGAGACTGAAGCCGGGTCCCGTCGCTGCTATATGCCACAGCAGTGTGGAGCCAGCCAGCGGGGCGGGGGCGGGGGCGACGGGAGACGGCTCGAAAATCCCTACGTGCGCTTTGCTGTTTCATCAATTATTTGTTTCGGTTTTGTGCGAATGGACGAGCACAAGGATGCAGGCAACCAGCCAGCCAGGACGAAACTCATCTTTTGCCACACACCAGCCCCTATCCCAACTACTGCCACTACTAGCTGGGGCTGAGCTGGTCCTGAAAGCGTTTTGGGCATTCTTCTTTCTTTTTTTCCTTTTTGGGGCAGGCAACAAAAACAGTTGCTGCAAATTGCTAACAAAAACTGTCTGCTCCCTGCACAAATACGTACATAGAAACATATATATATATATATATATATGTTTATATATATATATATGTGTGTGTATATGATATTTGTGTGTGTATTGTTTATTTGGTTTGCCATTGAATCATTTGAAGCGCACAAGCAACCCGTTGAAATTGTTGTGCTTACAGATAATTTAAACAGTTTACACAGTAAATAGATGTGCACAACAGATATATATATATATATATAGATACATATAGATGTGCTCTATATGCGGCTATTCTATTTATGATGTTTCGTTTACTTATCCAAGTTATTGTTGCACATTCCTTGATACCCCAATTTGGTTCTTATGGGTAAAGAGAGAGAGAGAGAGAGAGAGAGAGAGAGATTTATCCAAGGAAGTCGTGCGTATAACTGTACATATTTATATATATATGCATATTCTTGATCAGCAGCTACAGTTGCGTCGATCTAGCTGTGTGTTTGAGCCATAAATTCTCGTAAAACTATCTTAATTTAACATTGGCCACAAAAGCACAGCCTGCATTTGATTAATAGCTGAACCAGCTTTACAATTATCGATTTATATCGATTTAAATCGATTGATTCTCATTATTTCTTTTGCTTTTTCTTCATTTAATTTTAATTTACTTATTCATACTGCTTTTTCACTTTTGCCCGAGGGACTCTTTTGAAGAAAATCCACTTTTTGGCACACGCACAAAAAATGCATTTTTCACATTGGTCTAGCTGGAAAGTGAGAGAGAGAGAGAGAGAGAGACAGCGAGAGAGAGAGAGAGAGAGAGACAGCGAGAGAGAGAGAGAGAGAGAGAGAGAGCTTTACGCCAGAGTTATAAGCCTTAAACGTGATAAGGTAGATAAGATAAGAGTCTAACATTGTGCAGATCTAGTCGATAAAGCTTGCCACAAATGATGAGCGCAACGCACAAATTGTCGCATAAATCAGGTGCAGCAGAAGCAGCAGCAGATCGAAGAGCAGGCCTAATGTTGCGGGGTGGTTGGAGTGGCAACAATGCCTTATCTTATGGCCAAGTGCTGCGCAGGTAACAAGAGCATAGAGGCCAACAGCGAACGCTGCCAAATCCATATAAATGAAAGCTGTGTGTGTCTATATATATATATATATATATATATATATATATATATATATATATATATATATCTATGTAGGCATCATTTTGGGTGGGTTGAGTGGCCACTAGCCTGCAGCAGGTGCCACACACACACACACACACACAGGCACACATGCAAGAAACGATTAATAGCGTGGGCCAGCTGGCCAAGCCCGAGTGTGGCGCCTCCGACTCTCGGCCTCGCCTTTTTTTGTCTATGCAAACACAGCACAATGAAGCTGCTGCCGATAAAAATCCTCACCTCAAGCGATTACCCCACAGACCCCCCCTCCACACACACACACACACACACACACACACACACACACACCTGCCACGCCGCCTGCCCCCCCTCATTGCCGAGTACTCCATGCATTCTGCATATGCGTTGACCATTTGCGGGGGGTCGCCGAGCCGAGGGTGTAATGCGATAAAAAGCTGTATGGAACTGGACACAAAAAAAAAAGAAAAAAGAAAATGAAAACTGAAAAATGAAAAATAAAAAATAAAAGAAAAAAGAAAAAGGAAAAATACATCACAGAGACAAACAGGCAGACGGCAGACAGAGAGGGAAGCGCACAGAGTGACCGAAAAGCAGAGAGAGCGAGAGAGAGAGAGAGAGATAGAGCGTTAGAGAGGTAGAGCGACAGAGAGAGCGCGAGAGAGAGCGAGAGAGAGAGAGAGCAAAAACAAAGCAGAAAAATTGCAACAAAAAAAGTTTGGTTCGACATTTGACTGCCTCGGCCTGGTCAGAGGCAAAGCTAAGGCCAAAACCAAAACCAAATCCAGAGTCAGAGTCAGAGCCTGGCGTGCAACAGCCTCGAGGAGCGAAGCAAGAACAACAAGGACGCACAGGACACACAGGACACACAGGACGCGCATCCAATCAGCAGGCATATGCCAACGGCTCGGGGTGTGGCCAACAATTTGGCCACCCCAACACAAAAAGGGTTACAACGAAGGCCTCACATGCATCCGCAGATAGCTTGCAACACAGCAGCTACAGCAGCAGCAGCAGCAGCAGCAGCCAAATGATTGACAACTGCACTCAAAGGACCAACAGCTGTTCGTCCACCTCACCAGCCTGCAATGCCCGACTCTCAACTGCACTGCACCCATTTGTAGTGTAAATTGAATCATGGCTCATTAACCCAACTTAAATCAAGCGATAATCAAGTTAAGAGCTTTAATCTGAATTAGCATTGCTGCTGGCATTTCTAATTATATGATTACTATATATATTTATTACTTATGGCGATTGTTCCCATGGCAGCTATATAATATCTCCTCTGCTTGAACTCCTCAATTCAATATGAATTTGAAACTTGAAAATGTTGTTTAACTTCCAATTCCAAAACGATTCCTAGTTTTTCTCAGACTCGGTTGATCTATAAAAAATATAAAAATAAAAATTGACTCGTGATTTTCCAGCTGCGAAAACCCAGGGAAAACAATACAACCTGAAACCTGAAGAGTTAAAAGAAGCCGGAAACAATTCAAATTTGTTTGATGCACTTTTTATTCATATTCGATTTCGTGTGTAAATTACCAAGTTGCAAGAAGAAAAAAAAACGTTGCACGTTGCGTTATTAGAACGCGACTCTGTTTAAGATTGCAATGAGAAAGCAACAAGGCAAAGTGCTTTAATTATGAACAATTTGTTAACGACAACTGCTCGTTCTGGTTGTCCTCCTTACTCCAATACTCATATATATATATATATATATATGTAAGCTGAATCAAATATCAATAGTTAAAGTTCAAGTTTAAGTTTTCATCTTTATTGCGTTTTTCTCGCTTTCTTTGCCCCCCCTGAAATATGAAGAATGTTGCATCAGTTATTGAGTGTGTTGTGTGTGTTGTTGTTGTGTGTTGTTGTTGTTGCTGTTGCTTTGCAAAGCATACATTTCTCATAACATGATTATTATTATTATATCGTAGTCAACTGCAGCAGCATCATCATCATCATCGTTATCCTGACCTTATCCTCAAGTCAATTGAGAAACCCACCCAAGCCATACAAAAAAATATCAATATATATATATGTATGTATGTGTGTGTGTGTGTGTGTGTGTTTGTATATATATATATACACATATATATAAGAATCTTGTTGTTGTTGTTGTTTATTATCGTTTCGTTTTGTTGTTGTTGCTATTTTAGTTTGCCCCCAAGCCCGCCCGCGCCATGCCACACGAAAAAAAAAGAGTAGAACAGTAAAAGTCTCCTAGATGATTCAGTCCTCGACGGCATACTTTTGAGTCCATTCGCGAGCGTTGCGTATGGCCTCCGCCTCGTTGATCTTCCATAGCTCGGCCACGTCGTTGGCGAGCGGATCGTCGGGATTTGGTGCGCTGAGCAGGGCCTGGATCGAGAGCAGAATGGTGCGTATCTGCAGTGCGGGACTCCACTTGTCCTTCAGCACATCGAGACAGATGCGGCCGAGTCTATCGATATTCGGATGATAGATCTTGGTGATGAAGCGCACCTTTGGCGCCGACATCGGATAGTCCTCGGGCAGAAACAGCTCCAGCTTAAAGATGCCACCCTCAAACGGCGAATCGTTCGGACCGGTGACAATCACATGAAAATATCGTGCATTATTCTCATCGGGTATCGCATTGATGCCGGGCACTGGTTCCTGCATCAGGCGCTGCGTCTCCTTAATGATGCGCCGTGGCAGATTCGACATGATTCCAGTTGCTGCAACTGCTTCCTCTGCTTAGCTACTTCTGCTTCTTCTTCCTCTTCTAGCTTCAGCTGTTGCTGCTGCTGCTGCTCCTGCTGCTGCTGCTGCTTCTTGTTGTTTGTTGATGTTGTGTTCTGAAAGAAGCGTGAAAATCGAGAGTTAAACAAAGTTGTTGTTGTTGTTGTTGTTGCAGATTCAAGGACGTGTGCGTGTGTGTGTGTGTGTGTGGGTGAGTGTTGGCGTGGCAGGTGCACGCTCCCGTTGCCTCCGTCGACTTTCGCTTTCAACAAATTGTAAAAAGTTTTGCGCTTGCTGCATTTTATTGCAGCAGCCACAAGATACAAATGCGATTTCACAAGTTGTCGCTGTGTGTGTGTGGTGTGTGTGTGTGTGGTGTGTGTGTTCTTGAGTGTAGAGGACAATTAAGCAGCTACTTGCATATTTGCATGCGGCAGCAACAAGCAACAAGTCACAAGTGGTGTCAACTGCGCGACTGGCAGATACTCTGTAGCAAACAAATAAACGTCTAAATTGAATTATTCAATTAAACATGTTTTGAAAGATATCGATAGTTAACGGCAAATCATAGTGTACAACCAACTGCTAGATACCCTGTTCTCAGTCTGCTCATCTTTCATTGATTGAATGATGCAAGACTTAACTGTGATTACCCAACAATTAAAAAATAAATATTTTCTAAAATTTATTATAATTTTTCGTGTTTATCTGTAAATTAACCCTTCCCCCCCCCCCCCCACGAGCGACTCACGAAGAAAGCGCGTAGCGTGTTAAACTCTAGTTGCTACATAACCGTATTTGCCGGCCAGCATGCTTGTGCATGTGTGTGTGTGTGTGTCACTATTCTGACGACCGGCACTGTTATAAGGCAATAACAATAACAGGAGCACAGTTGAAATGTCAGCACTAAAAAGAACTGAAATGCACACATACATATGTAATTAGCAGTTTGAAATGTGGGGGGGGGGGGAAGAAAGCAGCAACTATTTCTGCATTGCTTGTCATTACATACATTTATTTATTTAAAAATTTATTGATTTCTTAAGCGCGCTGCGGCGACACGCTTACACACACACACACACACACACACATACACGACGAATGAGCGGGGGGGGGGGGGGGATACACATGTTGTTTGAGGAGGTGCAACGATGGGTGGAGGACAGAGACAGAATATTTGTCACGCACGTTGTAGAGAAAAATCAATAGCAAAATGAAGCCAACAAAAGTGAAACAAATATTTAATCAGCCGAGCGCTGCTTTACACAAAATAAACTGCCAAATTTTCACACGCACACACACACACACATATACACACACTGGACACTAACACAAACACCAGCCACAAGCCGAACGCGCAAGAAAGACAAAGAAAGCCGCAAGAGGCGTACGAAACTTTCTGTGTGCGCTACTTTTTTTTCTTTACCAAATTTGTCGATATTTATAATCCAAGTGCAGCTATTATAACTTACCTGTACACACGCACACACACACACGCATACGCACACAAGCGCACACACACACGTACTTTAGTCGATGCGTTTAGCGCTATTCAACTGCTTCTTCTTGTTGTTGTTTTTCTTGTTCTTCTTCTGTTGTTCTTGTTCTTGCACTGAACGGGAGGAAGCAAACATAAAACAACAAAAAAAAAAGAAACCTATGTAAAAGACACCCACCGGGCACAAAAATAATAATGAAGCACACAATAACAAAACAAAATTGCTCACGTTTCACAAATGCACAACAATTCGACACTCAAATTTGAGAAATTTTCATCGAAATTTCTCCACAGAATTGTGCTGTTTTTTGCAGCTCCAGCTCCCCAGCTCCGCACAAAATTATGAACGTCGAAAAAAAAGTTTTTATATGCGCTTTGCTTGTGTTGACGCATTCATGTGCTGGGCGCTTGCATGTGTTGCGTGCGTGTGAGCCGCTCTGTCAGCGGCGCAGGGTTACCAGATGCCGCACTACTGAAACATTGAAAGTTTCATTGTCACTTACCAAATATTTATTGAAGTTACAACACAAATAATAATTTTCTCAACTCAATTAATAATCGTTAATTGTAATTGTTTAATTTTCGCACAGCTAATGGCTACGCGAATTTTTTTTAACATATAAATGCTGGCCATGTGCTGGCAACACTGCTCTCTGTCGGCTGTCAAATGTGCGCTGGCGTCGTAGCAATCAGCTTTCCGACATGCTACAGGCGTGTGTTTAGCAGCCAGCAGCTTTTATTGCGCTGCATGCAAATACTAATCAGAATCAATTGCTGCACGTTGAATTGGTAATCGCATGCATCCAATCAGTAGAAAAATATGTATTATTTTTCATTAATATGTAATGGATTATTATTATTGTTTTTATTTTTTTAATCGTTTCTATTTACATAAATGGATTTGAGTGCAAAAATTATACGAAAATATAACTAGCATTATAAATCTATTCATATTGGTAATAGAAAAAGCGAGATTAATAAAAAATAAATAAACGAAACGAATCATTGAATTATGCAACTAATATAACTGTAGCTTATATAGTTTATATAGTTTATATAAACTGTCCATCTGTCTGCTGCAAGGCTACTTTGATGAAACTTCAAATATATGTTTCTCTCTTTGCGCTTATATCCGAATCGGATCACTATATACTGAAAGAATGGGTAAGCTTACACAGGGAATGACATTGTAGAAACTGAAGACTTCAGTTAAGCTACATTTTTATCAAGCTTCGTTAAGTTTTATAACAATTAGATAAGAATGCATGAAATTTGACAATTTAATAAATACAACAAATTAAGATAAATAACAAACTGTTTTTTTTTTTTTGTTAATAAATAAGTAAGTAAATATCAGTTAATAGCAACTTGCATGCCCTTTTCTAGCAACATCAATTTTTACAGCCAGCTATTTAATCATCTCGACTGGCACAAGATAAAAAAATGAATAAAATGCAATAATTAATCAAACTATCGACTAAAATTTAATGCAAATGAAGATTAAGAAAACTCTTCTTCTTCTTTCCTATTTACTTTGCACTAAACAAGAAGAAGAAGGAGAAGCAGAAGCAGAATTCAATTCTCGCGTGGTGATTTTTTCAAATTTCGCACAGCAGCAGCAACAATTAAAGAAGGAAATCCATACATTGCAAGTGTGTGTGTGTGTGTGTGTGTGTACATTACATGCATACGAAACACACACACACACACACACACATATATATACACACACGCACAGCTCTCAGCTGCACAGACATATTTACACTGCGCCCCTCTGTTTGGTCATTTGCAATTGAACCAATACAACAACAACAACAAATGACAACAACAACAGCAACAACTACAACACAGCTGACCATGCGATAGGCGCGCACTTAACACATGCCCCCGCCCCCAACCCAAACTGAGAAAGAAAGGAGAGAAAAACAGAAAAACGAAAAAAAAAATATATATAAAAAAAACAGTGGAATTTGTGTGTAATCAACATTTATGCGTTTCAACGCCCCCCGCACAGGCCATTGGGCCGTAGAGGAGAGGCTTGGCTTTGCCCGCTCTGTCACGCACACACTCACACGCACACACACACACACACGCTCATTCTCTCACATGTGCAATGCCCAATGGACGCACAAGCAGTCGCACATACGAAAAACCGAGCCTCGCAAGTAAAGCAATAAAAACAACAACAGCTACAACTACAACACAGCAGCAGCAGCCATGTGCAGTTAAGCACACACACGCACACACACACACACACCCATGTGCAGCGCTCTCACACATGCACACACACACACATGGCATCTGCTTTTAGGCTGGGCAACGGCGACTAGTTAGCCAGCACAAAAACCCAACCCACTCCACACTCCACTCCATTCCCCTCCCCTACCCTCCCCTACAAACAACCGACGACTTTTGCACTCGCATTGCTTCTCTCATTCCCCTTCTCCCCCTCTCATTCAATGCAATGAGTGAGAGCAACGTATGCAAGCGAACGAGTGAGCGAGAGGGAGAGAGAGAGAAAGAGAAAGAGAGCGAGTGCAGCACATTACATATTGGCTTGCGCTCAGTTTGGCTCTGCTGCTGACGTCGCTGCTCGGCTTACGCTGCAACTGCAAGCGGCGCTGCTACGCAGCTGTTGGGCGACCTTTATTTGCTCTTGAGTTGCTTTGTGTATGTGTGTATGTATGTGTGTGTGTGTGTGTTTTTTTTTATTTTATTGTATGCAGCTGCTTTTACTACTTTTTACTACGACTAACCAAAGAGCACAGCTGATTGCAGTGTTGTTGTTGTCGATTTTGCTGCTGCTGCTGTTGTTATTGGTGGTGCTGCGACTGCTACTGCTGCTGCTGCTGCTGCTGCTGCTGCTGCACGCATTTTAGGCGCACATTGCGCTGCTGCCAGCGTCGCTGTTGACGTAGCAGCGTTCGCACATTTCTATAAATTTTAATGGCTGACAGTTTTCAATATGGCGCAGTTTACATTGCTATTTACGTGTTGTTTTTGTTGCTGTTGTTGTTGCGGTTCTTCTTCTTCCTCTTCTTCTTTTTGCCTGCTTATCTATGTATGAGGGTGAGTCGTTGTTGTTGTTGTTGTTGTTGTTGTTAAACTGAGGTTGATTTTAAGTGGTCGAAAAACTGTGCAAATTGTAAAATGACCTTTTTTTATGCGCATTTCAAATGTGCCCTATGATTTCTATAATACTGAGCAGAGTGCAATAAGAACTAGTATTATTATTATTATTATTATTATTATTCTTTTTCTTATTATTATTAATATTGTGCTTATTTACTTACTTATATATATAACTATAAAGAACTAAATAAGTTCCTTCGGCGTAGGTATTTTTTTTATTGTGGATTCTAACATAGAAATCATCGAAATGGTTAATAATATGTATTAAATATTGTTAGCGGGTGTTGCTGGCCACAGTCAACTAAATAAATATATTCATTGTATTTTTGTATTTGCCTACTTCGATCGAGAGTTAAGTTCTGCCAGCTTTTGAAGAGGTCAAATCATTCCACAACAAATACCAAAAACTTAACCGATTTTTGACTATGCTTTGAACTCTAGAATAGTGTTTTATATAAATATATATATATATATATATATATAAATATATATATATATATATTCAAATTTAAATTAAATTTAAATTTGGATATTTTTTATTGGCGTTTTTGCTTTTCGTTTTTTTAGCTTGGACTCGGGCTTTGTCCCATTTCAGTTACTTTAGCCGCAATTGGGGGCAGCTGCAGCCTTGAGACAAATGTGTGTTTGTTTCTTTGTCTGTTTGTCTGTTTGTTTGTTTGTTTTTTAGTGTGTGCGCTGAAGATGTTTTTCCCCCGCTTATTTCTTAGTGCCTGCTTTCGCTTTTTCGCCACAAAACTTTATTATTTTTGTTGCTGTTTTTCTTTGTTGCTTGCAGAATTGTTGTCCAAATCACAACACCTACACGTAACCCTTACCCCCAAAAAAAACACCCCACCACCCTCCACCCCTGTCAAGTGGAAGCATTTCGTTTGCTGTTTGGCATCAGTTCATTAACATTTGCCAGGCTCTCTATTCATCTCTCTCTCTCTCTCTCTCGCTCTCTCTCTTTCTCGCTCTTTTAGTCTATACAAAAGATAACCTATCAGCCCACACACCCCCCACACCCCCCACACACACCCCACCCCCTCTGCATCCACTCTCTTGCTGCTTTCACTGGCCAACAAAAGAATTGCTACACGCATCTAATTAAAATAAATGCAACACACATGTTGCTGGCAACATGTTGCTAAAGGCGCTCACTCACTGCCACTGCCACTGCCACTAGCGCTCTCTCACTCACTCTCTCGCTCTTGTTCGCTCTCTCTATTCTTGTTCATTGCACAGTTGCACTGAGCGACGGAGTTAAAAAGCGCCGAGACGCTGACAGCTTTGACTGCGACTGCGACTGCGACGCTGACAGCGGCGGCGGCAGCGGCAGCGGCTGCCAACGCCGAAAAACGCAACGAACAAAACGAGCAAAACAAAAAATGCAAAAACACAAAAAATGTTTTTCAACCAAAGGACTTTGTGAGGGCGACTAAGGAGGGGGGCGGGGTGGGGTTGCCTATATATATATATATATGTGTGTGTGTGTGTAAAGTTGGCACGCAGCGCACAAAGAACAACAACAACAACAACGAAATGGCATAAAACGTAGCTCAGAAGTAGGGAGAAAAAAAGTGTCCGTTAGTCATTAGGCGATGTTGTCGTCGCCGCCGTCGCCGTCGCCGTCGTCGTCATTTTGTGGGGTCGTGAGTGCAACAGACTTGTCGTGCCACGCAGCTGGCAAGAGGGCGGTGGAGGGGGGGTGCGGAGGGGCTGCTTTGGGGTTGCCGAACAAAGGAAACCCTTGGCAACGCAGGCCAACAAAAAGGAACGCAAAAAATACAAAATACAACAACAACAACAACAACAACACCAACACCAACAAAATCAACTCCAAAGCCAAAGCCAAAAAGGACGAAAACTTTGCCAACGCTGGCATCGACGTCGGCGTCGTCTGTCTGTCTCTCTGTGTCTGTGTGTCTGTGTGTGTGTCTGTGTGTGTGTGGGCGTCTGTCGGCCGCTGGGCCTTGCACACATCGTAGGCACAGAGTCCATTCAGCAGCCAACCACCCCCCCCCACAACCCCCACAACCCCCACAACCCGCTCCTGTTTTTTGTTTTTTGTGTTTTTTTGTGTGCTTTTTTTTTGGAGTCAATGTCTGGAGTTTATTTTGAGTGTTGCGTGCTGCGTTGCTGTCTGTGTGTGTGTGTGTGTGTGTGTGTGTGTGTGTGGCGACTGCGTGCTGTCGCAAAGGGGGTGAGGGGTGTTGACTGAGAGGGGTGCGTTGGTACCCAAACTGAAGGGGTTGTTGCTACATGTGCCACCCAAAAA